CCCCGCGCGGCTCCCGGTCGGCCCGGAGACCGGGCGAGGTGACGGGGGCGCCCTGGGCCGCCTTGTCCCCACGGGGCACCAGGCAGGTGGGGTTCCGCATGTGTGGTCTCGGGCTCTGCCCCTAGCCGCCCGGCACCAAACACAAAGCGCCCACTCGAGCAGTGTCCCGCGGAAGTCACGGCCCTGGCCAGTCACGTGTGTGCCCTGAACGGGCTGGGCCGGCAGCACCCTGGGGTGGCCTGGGCGCCAGTCAGGGCAAGGAGCTGCAGGTGTGCTGGGCCATAGGGGCCGCGGGACAGCTGGACAGGAGCCCCCTGTGCCCTCCTGAGTCCCCAAGCTCGGCTCAGGCCGGAGCAGGGCTCACCTGACACCCACCCTCCTGGGCCCGGCCCCTCTCTGGCTGCCCAAGGCTGGTCTCCAGGGACCGGAGCACCTGCCTGGCACCAGAGCACCTGCCTGGCACCAGTCCCTCCCCGCCACGGCAGGTGGGGTCACCTGGCCACTCCAGTGCAGGGGGAGGACCAGCAAGACTCCATCAGGTGAAGATGATGGGCAGTGGCCCAGGTAAGACCAAGAGGAATGTTCTTGGAACTTTCCAGAAGCCCCACGAGCTACAGGGTCCTAGGGATACAAAAGAATGCGGGATTCCATGGGTCAGGTGGAGAGTGAGGACACCTCTCGGGAGGGAGCCCATCACGTTAAAGGAAAATGTCCGCGACTGCGGTGCGAAAGGTGTTCACTGTCTCAGGGACACAGAGACGCACCCGCACAGCCGTCCCATGGGGTCAGTCCCTGAGGGCCATGCCGGGGGCGTGAGGTGTGCGCTGGTGCTCAGTGAAACCTGCCCAGGGCACCAATGGGATGTGGCCAGTATCCTGCAGAAATACCCAGGTGTTGGGTGCTGCCTCAGCCCACTGGGTGGTCATGACCCTGGGTGGACACTGTCCCTCCCAGGGAGACGGAGAGACTTGAGATGGTGCCAGTACATGTGTGTTTGTGATGCTCAAGAGAGGGTTGGCTTTGCCACGGAATCGTCATTCTAACGGAATTTATTTAGACTTGGTGTTCGAAGGTGAAATCCTACTAAACTTATGTGTAGTGTTAGAAAATTTAAGAGACTTTTGGGGAAAACATACGTATAAGTTTAGGTGTCTGTTATTTAACCTGAGAAGACTTTGTTAATTCAGACAGCATTGGAAAGGAAACAGAATGTACAATATTTGTAAATACAGTTTAAGTTATCTGAAGGTGTGCAAAAGACACCAAGAGACATTTGAAGGGGAAGACACGCAGATGGCAGAGCCACCAGGGAAATGTAACGTAACCGAAACCAGTGAGACACCGCATGCCACCCAAGTGGCGAGGCTGCAGAGAATGGGCTGGACCCTCGCGTGTCACTGGTGGGAGCATAAAATGGTGTGGGCATCCGGAGGCCACGCGACAGTGTCTTAAAACACGACACTCGCTCCCCATGTGACCCGGCAACCACGTTCCTGAACATTCATCCCACAGAAATGAGCACTTGTGTCCACACAGAAACCTGCGCGCACCATTCACAGCAGCTTTATTTATAAAGCTCCACCTGGAAACAACCCCAGCTACAGCCACTGGGGCTCCACCACACCGTGGACGCATTGCTGGGGAAAAATCCTCTGGTCTCACGTTCCTGAAGTGATAGACTGACCAACAGACAGCGTGTGTGTAGGGTTGGGGATGGTGAGGCCACTAGAGGGGTTGCAGGAGGGGTCTCATGGGTGGGACTCTGCATCTTGACTCGGGGTGGCCACGGGAATCGCCCATGAGATAGGAGGACCAAACACTTCATTTGCTGAAATTTCAGGAGATGTCACTGACGGGGCCTCTGGGGTGTGCTTGCCTAGCTTCCCGGTGGCTTTCTGTCTCTG